AATACAGAAAAGAGAATGAAAGTGCCACAGCACGCACTTAACACTGACCATGAGGCGAGTTCAAGATCTTCAAATCTCGTTCCGCTGAGGTGAAGGATCCCCACATTTTAGTTTTGTATTGTTGAGTAGCATTTCTCTCGATATAAACGTCTTTCTAACACAAGTGACTGACAGGCAGAATGCTTTATTTCTTTTATCTTTAAATCAATGTCAATGATTTGATGCTTTATTAAATCTACTCTCATCTTTTTGCCTTTTGTCCTCCAGCCTTTTAATCTCCAATGAAACCCCTACTCTCTGTTGTCTTCATCGCCCATCATTCTTCTCTTCATCAGATTCATACACACACACACACACACACACACACACACACAGAGAGACACACACACAGAGACACACACAATTACCTATGAGGTAATGTGTATGAACCAAATGTCACAAGAACAAAACACCTTGCTCTATATAATCTTTGTATCAGACTGTCAGACAAAGTGGTAACCACCTGGAGATGCACACACACAAAACTTCACACTCACACTTCGTGAAATCTGCTGAAGGTTTCATGGCCAGAAAGATATTCCAGCCTTTCAAAAAAAACCAAAAAAAAAAACCAAAAAGTCGGTTCATTAAATTTTCAACCCTGACACACTGTCAACTATTTAAGCTGCTATTTCAGAGATTTGCAGCAGAGAAAGAAAGGTGCAGGGGCAAACACATGCTGCTCAGTCGCAGGCTTTCAGAGAGCCAGAGAGAAAATGTAATTACTCCTACTTCAAAACATCCTCTTCCTCATCTCCTCACCTATCTTTATGTCTGATTTTCTCTTGTTTTCTTGCTTCTTCTAGGGTCCTTCCTTTTAGTCTCTCCTCTATACTTTCACCTTCCCATGCAGTCTCTAATGTGCTCGGATTAACACGCCCTGTGTTTTCTGACTTTCTCCTTCCACCTGACGACAAGCTTAGGAAACCTTTAAAAGGCTTTCATGATCAGAACGTAGCATCCTCTTCTTTATTTTTGCACACCTCAAGGATGCCACTTCTCTCCTTCTTTCACCAGCACTTTCAGAGAATAAGCACGACGCTAGAAAGAGGCGAGTGCAGAAGCGAAAAAAAAAAAAAGAAGGTTTTTTCAGGTCTTATAGAAGTCCTCATTTGATTCATTTTTAGCAGTTCACCCGTCTCTTTCCATCTGTGTGTTAGACAGTCCTTGTGTCGTCCTGCTCTAAGCCCCCGACTGCGTGTTTGTGCTGCTCAATTGCAATAAGGTCATTCTTTTTTCTTTTAGGCTGTCTATTAATTTTGAGTGCACACAGCCTTGGGGGCTTTTCTGTTTGTTTTCATCCGTGGCATTTTGGTTTCATTGTCTAAAATTTCTGAAAAGGCAGCTTTAGTGAGCTATTAGTGCAGCACATAACACCAGAGGAGCTTAACACAGAAGATGAAAACAATGGAGAAGGGCCTCTGTCCCCCTTACTGATATTAAAGCACATTAAACACACTAAATCCTCCTCCTCTCTCATCATCTCTTGCTCTTTATCTCTCTCTCTCTTTATCTCTCTCTCTCTCTCTCTCTCTCTCTCTCTCTCTCTCTCTCTCTAAAACTGGGGTCAGACTACCAAGGTTTTCAAATCAGGACCGTTGGTGTTTAAAATCGGGTTTCATCGTGCACATAAAGAGATTTTCTTCACATCATCTGAACTTGCAAGATTCAAAAATGATGGCACATCACACTGGATATGATTAAGATGATTATGTTAGGGTGTCACAATTAGGATTGAATATAGCAAAATGAATCAAATAGCTTTCAATAGCAGATTCAAAAGCAGAATCAACAATTCTAAGAATAGTTGTGCCTGGACCTCAGCCTGTATGCAGGAATACAACAAAAAGATTCAGCTTAAAGATGATTTAGCTTAGCTTACTAGTCAAATGCAACTCCATTATTGGAGACATGATTGTATTTAGGAGCCTGTTTTCTTATTTTTGCATATTTACATGAATTATTCTAGTGTGCGTGTTAATATATATTCATTGGCAAAACTGTCAGCCCTTCATAAAATGCTTATACACAGGAATGCATCAAATCCTTGAAATCCATGCTCAGATAAATTGTGGATTTTGAGTTGTGACATCCCAAATGTTAGTAAATCAGTCTCAAGTCTATGTTCTGAGTCCTGTCTACACACACACACACACACACACACACACACACACACTCACACACACACACACACACACACACACACACACACACACACACACACACACACCGTTGGCTATGAGGCCTGGACACACAGACATACAGCTCTGACCTTTGGTGCTGACATTTTCTAAGTGAGGCAGCGTTCTCAGTGGAGCAGCGCCACATCGACTGCAGGTGTCAATTATGTTGCTTTGGATTTCCTCGAGATGTTGCCGCTGAATGAGCAGGGATGTGAAACATAGTGTACACACATACAGACAGACACACACACACACACACACACACTTGGAGGTCAAACATTGCCAGAACAAAGAGCTGGTAAACGGGAAAGTAAAATATAGATGAAGAGTGATGCTGTGAGGAGGAGAGAGTATTGTGCTAGCTACAAAATAATAAATTATGGTGTTATAACCATAAATGTTGCTCAGTCTTTTACTCTGCTCATCATAAATCCAACCGGGGACACTTCTTCAGCGGGAAAATCCCATCTCACATCTTGTAATCGTGATGATTTAGAGCGTGTTTACTGTGTTAGTATAAACACAGTTCATCGAAGTGATCATAATTTGAGACTAACCAAACCTGTCACCAGTCTTTTAGCAACAAAACAAAAACAAATATAAAATTAAAGCAGTTCATAAAGGGCACGCCATTTAATTTGTGACACATTTAAGTGACTTCAGCAGAATCCTTTCGGAACATTTAGAGTTTCACTTCACAAGACTTACTCACCCCGAGAGCTGCTTTTCATTCGACTGCAACAGAGGAGAAGGCTAAACGCTATCAGGCAGGTTTAGACTTTAGAGGAGGGCCATTCAAAAAAAAAGAAGAAGAAGATCCCCCTTCATGACGCTTATCTCTGCGAGCACATTTCCTGAAGCCTTCACTTAAATCGATTTTGAAGACGACTGCATTATTTTATTTTTTTTTCTGGAATAAGATATATTGTCGTCTTCTCTTGGATGTAACCCCTCAGCTGGCCGACGTCCACACAGCGATATGGAAACTGTTTGGGTTTTAAATTATTTGAAAGTGTGTGTCAGGAAACTCCTGCAGCCACAGCATATGTGTGTGTGTGTGTGTGTGTGTGTGTGTGTGTGTGTGGCCGAGTACAAACTGTACAGAATGAATTAAAATTATGTTGGGCTGCATATTTTCTGCCATACTGTCAGAACTGTCACTGATTCAGTTTAGCTGCACATAGGGTCAACACACGAGTGCTACCGCTGTTAGAAAACGACGTGAAACAAGTCATTAGAAATAGTCTTCTTTTAGAGATTTCTAATCAGGGCTTTATTGTTCGGTGTACCTTGATGGAAGCACAAAAAAAGGTACCAAAAGAAAGAAGTATTGCCTGGATTGAAACGGTCCTTTCTGATTAATTTCACCACACTCCACAAACACCATCCTCTCAGTATTTCTCTTTATAGCCGTGCTTAATGATCCTCCTTAAGGTTAAAGATTTTATTATCAAAATACCAAAAACATAATCTGAAACATCCCATTAAATCTGTCTCCGTCCTTTGCTTTACAATGATATCCCAAAAGCAACACTGCAAGATATGTGATGAACATTTAATTACTGCAGATCGTCTGCCTTTGACAGCTCGGTTTTTTAGCACCTCAGGTAGTTTCACAGACACCTGAGCCTCAGGCGATGTGCCATTTTAAAGGCAGGCAGCCTGTCAACGTGAGTGGCAAGTGCTGGTGTGGAAACCCGGCTGACTGGGGTAGAGGAAGGAGGGAGTGATATTAAATTGCCTGCCTGAAGGCCAAACGATGAGCGAGGAATCTGGAGAGTATTAAAAGAGTCGTTTTTTTTTTTTTTTTGTACTCGACTTAATCAGACAAAAAACAATGTGATAAAATGTATGTAAGAAGAGCGAGATAAAGGGTTTACAGCTCAGGATTAGAGTGTTTTTGACTGCTCAATGCCATTTCTCTGACACAACAGGAGATGGGTTGTGATAAATGATAGTTTTTAAATCCAAAACTGTTGTCCTGAAGAGACTGGATAGCAGAAATTAAGCAGATTTGTAGAAAAGCAACATTTTCTGACTGTAGAGGACCATTAATTCCATCTAAATCTTTCTTTTTAACAGACGTTCGGATCAGACATTCAGTCGTTGGGACTGCTTATCGGAGGCAACGGAAGATAGTCGGAGCTAATGGGCTCTGCAGGTCCTGCAGTGCTGGGAAATTACATGGGTCCAAAGTTGCTGTACTTAACCCTTAAATCCACCCACTGTCAGGGGAAATAAGACTTAAAGTGTCAGACTGTCCAAGTGGTTTATCTGCTGCATGTACCAAAGTGCTAATGATCTGTGGCGGTGGTCCAAACGCTGTCTCGTGTTGGCCTGTAGGATTTCATTCAGGCTAATTTCACATCCCTCAGCATGAAAAGTACCGCAGCGGTTTCTGCTTGAGGGGGAGGTTAGATAGCGTGATGTATTCAGATGTATTTTGATTAGGATTCCTTGCAGTGGGTGGGGTCACGAGGCTGAACTGAAGAGGAGTTTTTAATGAGGAAACTTTCCAAAACGTTCAAATCTGAAGACGGATTTTTTAATGTTTTGAATATTTCATATAACCTGTTTCTTGTATTGTACTTTTTTTCCATTACAGAATTTTCACACACACAGACACACACACACACACACACACACACACACACACACACACACACACACACACACACACGGCTGCTTACTCAGAAGGACGTGGGCGTGCGGGCTGCGTCTGTTTAGGTCGGCGTCATCACTGTAAAATTCAGAAAAGAAAGAAAACGTAAGACTCACTGCGGCCTCGTCCTCCCTGCTGTCGCTGGTGTCCTCATTCTTGTGGTGTCCCGCCGAGGAGCGAGCGTCCCTCTTGCGGCTGGCGTCCGTCCCCTCCGTCTGTCTTTCTCCATCTGGGGCCAAGGTGAAAACACGGACGACAGGTCAGACAGCCAGCCAGGCACCATTATCATCACCACTGTCGCTGTCATCATCCTCATCTACATTTTAAATCACCATCATTAATGGCTTCATTGTCTCACAGATCTCTACAACCATCATCATCATGGCTAGTATAATTAGAGTTATGAATATCATCACGGTCAACAGTGATCTTGACCTATTACTCATATGTCTCGCTGTTGAGTAAAGTAAAGTTGAAAAATGTAATTGAAAAAGCAAAAGGAGGAGAACAGAAACCAGTCCTGAGGGGAAATGTGACAGGTGGAGATGAGGGGATAAAAAAGGGAGTCAAAAAAAAGAGTACGAGATAAGGAAATGGAGAGGCATAAAGAATAGCTTTTCTTGCTACAAAGTGGCGCTGTTAGGGTGCTGTCATGCCACAGATGGATTATGGGAGTTTTGCTGCACAATGATGACAGTTGCCTTGGCTTGGAGAGAGAGAGCAACCGGAATTTAAATCCACTCATTACGACGTGTTTGTGTGTGCCAGTGTGTGTTTTTTGTGTGCCTGCTACAGAGCATATGGTCAAAATTGCCACCTCTCTTTGCTGCCAGCAAAATGCATGCACGTACACACACAGACACACACACACACACACACACACACACACACACACACACACACACACACATACAGTCATGGAGGATCAATTCAATACGGAGCGGTAACAGGATATTCTACACTTTATGAGAGCCTGGTTATTTGGAGTTACAAGGAGCAAACAGAGATTCACATGGTTTCTTATGAGAGTTTCCACCTCGACGAGGAGTTCATATAAAAAGGGAATCCATACTCTATTCACATCAAGCTCATTTTATTTGTGCTGCACGGCATTCATCCTATTTCCCCTTCACCAATGCACAACATTGCTGCTTCTCAGATGGGCCGCCATAAAAAGTGGCGTCTGTGCCATTGACTCCCCCATAAAAAGCAGGAGGAGGGGGACTTTGCGGTGTCCCAAATGCATTACAGTGAAAGTGGTTCATTACTGTCTGCTGAGCAGGGGTAGTTGTAGAGTACACACACAGAAGGGCGTGCGTGCCGCGCTCACACACACACACACACACACACACACACACACACACACACCCACACACACACACACACAAAAGGGGATGGATTGTGATTAAAAGACAGAATGGGGAGAACAGGCAGCTATAAAGCATAATGAGCGCTAATGGTTTTCCAATATGTCCCCTTTACAATGAGTGTGAGTGGGCTGAATTAGACAGGGCAAGGGGGGAGGAGGTGTGTGTGTGTATATGTGTGTGTTTGTGTGTCATATGTGTGTGTGTGTGTGTGTGTGTGCGTGCGTGCATGTGCGGTTGAGCAGTGGGGATATTGATGCAGTCAAGGAGAAGAGAGAACATGCATGTAAAGAGACAGAGAGGAGCAGACAGTGGAGAACTGAAGAAAAACAAAGTCAAAAACACACACATTAAGATTCAAGTGAGGCAAAAGGGAAAAAAAAGTTTCTCCTGTACATATTGTTCTGCATCTCATAAAAAAATCTCCAGCAAACATAATCTCTGTCTATGATTTCTTTTGTTTTCTATTTGTTTGGAAATCATCTCGCCTGTCTCCCGCCATTCCCTGAGCAATTTCCCTGATTCCAGACAACTACATTAAAACACTGCTTTGATCTGAAAAAACTCCTTTTGTTGAATAAATAAAACAGGAAAGACAAATTACGACGCTAGAAATGCATTGCCTTCTAAACTGTATTTCCACCTCTCTCTTTGGCAAGAGTTCATTTTGTGTTTGATGTTTTTTTTCTGGGGCTTGTTCACTCAGGGGAAAGTGCACTGAAAAGGTCACTGCAACCCAAATAAGAAAAAAGAACAAAAGAAAAAAGAAAAAGAATCAGATATAAGTCGTGGAGGCTTTCAGTCAGTGCCATTTTCATTGTCCAGAGAGCCGCAAGAATTGTGCTTTGAAAACCTCGGTCCAGCTCGCCATGCAGCGTCTAAGTACAGCCTGCGGGGTCTATCAGAGCTCCCTCAGATCAAAGAGCAAACACCAAAGAGTAGAAGTGCTCAACTTCGTCTCACTTCAAGCCTGACTTTCCTGCCATTGTTGAGCCAAAAAGCAGGACACTTCAACTTCTCATTTTTTGATCTTAGTGTAGGACTTAAATGCCCTTTGTTGAAGTAAAAAAATAGAAATTCTTCAGCACATGTACCTGTGTAAAAATAATCTGTGTATATTTACTGTAGTTATAAACATCCTGTACATGTACTTGTTTCATCTTTGGGGTGGGACAAAACATTGATACAGCAACATATCGTTGTCCTGAGTCATGTGATACAATAATCATATCACTGGTGCCAATTCCCATGTTTTCATTGAAGCTACTTCATGTCTTCTTCATAAAAGATAAAGAATAAGAATCAGACAGCAGGATGTCAGACAGGGCTGAAAGACGTTATTACAGTGAATAAACACATTAATCCTGCACTTTACCTTTTTAGGGGCATTTCATATTCTGCAGTTTATCAGATATCATGATGTATCGTTGTATTACTGTCCTGCAATTAGTTTATTAAGGCAGAACGGCTGTATTGGAATATAAGTGTTGTCATGGGCCACATGTATCGTATAAAAAAAGAGTATGTTGTATCACATTGCATCATATCACGAGCAGTGTTTGGGTGTAACGTATTGAAAACTATAAAAAGTTATCCATTAGAGTACTCAGATTACTTTTTTTGTAGTGCTGAGTCACATAAGGCGTTAGTTCTGCAAGGAAAATAATCCGTCAATAGTTACCTTTTTTCATTAAAAAAAGGATTCCTTTCTCTTTTCCTATTATTCCTATTGTCCTTTTCCTATTGTCGCCTCAAAGAAAAGAAAAGAAACATCTGCAGTTGTTGTTATTCTTACTCTGGGCCGGTAGCTGCAAATGAGCAGAAGGTCAGCCTTCAGATGTGTCAACGCCAGGCCTAGCTAGGTAATTTAGCACATTTGAGAGGGCAGCTTATACTTTGTGGAAATATTCTTATTATTCTAACTTTTGTTATATGCTGTCTTTTCTCAGTGGGTAACACAGTAACAAGTTATGTTTTGATTGCATTAACTTGTAATGTAACAAGTTACTTTTTAAATGTACATTACCCAACACTGATCATAAGTTACCCTAAGACTCCTGTTCCTGTAAAAGATCAAAGATATGAAACTTTGATTGGCATACAAAAATTGCCCCAATGGAAATGAATAGCACATTCATTTCCGAGTATTTGTGCCTCATCCTTTGTTTTCATTGCTGTTTAGTTCTGATATATGTCTGAGTAAACACTGTGTGAGTCACTGCATGAGTCAACCAGCAGCTCATCCCCCCTCAACCGTTTATCTGAGGCTATAATGAGCCAGCAATGCACCAGGGAGCGAGGTGAGCCCACCCTGTGCCTCGCCTCATTTATGCAAGTGTTCACCTCGCCTCAAAAATGCATGAGCACACAGAACACTAATGTTTATATACTGTTACTGCTGCACGGCGCATAGAGTGTATGCATGTAACGGCTACGATCTCCGTGCACGTAATTAAACGGCTGCATTACGTTTTCTGTTTGCCAGTATGTTGTTCTCCGCTCTTTTGTTAACATTGTGATTCCGTTGAACTTTACGTATAACATTGATATAAAGGCATATATTCTCATTATAACATTGTATAGCGGACTCTGTTCGCGAGTAGATAATCAAAATTACCATAAAACTCTAAATTGTAAGAGAATATTAACACCACAATGAGTTTAACAGAAAAGTTATCATACAGAAAAACATCAGCCAGACGACAGAAAGACGAACTTTAGGAGGCAAACTCCTTCAAAAATATTCACTGTCAAATTATTTTTTATTTTCTTCTAGAGCCTCAAGCTTTGTCTTTTGAAGTAAGAGGAGAAGTAATGTTGACTGAACCTCTTTCCTGAGAAAATCAGGTTTAAAGGACTGACAGAAGCCCCTGCTCTCTCACGATGCCTAAAAGAAACTAACTTATCAAATGAGGGAACAACTTTCTGCTACTATCTATATCACCATCTAGTTAGAATTGGTGCTGCATTCACAAAGTGTCTTTTAATGGATAAATGTTGGTTGGTAATTCAAAAACAGTCCCACAAGGAGAGAGAGAGATAATGAGAACGTCAAAGTGCTGTGTGTGCGTTTCTATGTTTTCATCTGTATGAGTGGACAGAATGTCTGGTCCTTACCACTCCTACAAGATGTGTTTGGTAATGTGTGTAAGTTTTTGAGTGTGTTTCATGACTAAATTCATGCATGTATGTGTAGAAAAGCATATTTGCTGCTTGTCAGATAGAAAGTTGTGACTTTCAGCAGGAATGAGTCATAAATATATAGTTCTCTGCTGGAGTGGAAGTAGAGGTTGGTTGTAGGGCTGCTGGATTTATGGCAAAAATAACGATCATGATTATTTTTATTGATAATTGAGATCACAATGATTAAATACGATCACTCATAGCAAACATTTGTTTCATAAATGTTGTTTCATGTATGATAAGTGCAGAGGTTAAATAATAGATAATAATGAATAAATAGAAATTAAATATGTATTTGAAGTTGTGGTGGTGTTCTCCTTGTGGCCAAAATATAATAACAAACACTTTAAACATTTACCTCACATGACAAAATGAGCACAACACAGCATGTGGCACAGTAATTGTTTCATCTCAATTATCTTGTTTTCATGATTGTGAAGTGAAGCCAAACTTGTAATTAAGTTGAAAGTAATTGTCCAGGCCTAGTTTGTTGAACAAATCAAATGGTGCTGTGGTGGTGAAACAGCCATACTGTCACCAGCACACATTTAAAAAAAAGTAGAAGAAAAGGGGAATAGGAGAACAATGCACCGAAGGATTGGCTTCACACACACACACACGTGATGAGTCAGGAGTCAGTCCCAGTCCCTGGACTGTGGCGGACTTCCTCTCGCCTCAG